ATAGTGGAGAATTAGAAACCAGACCAAAAATTTTGTTACAAAAAATGGTGAAATAAAATAAAATAAAATACTTTCTTGATATCGCGATAAATTCTATTTGTATTAGTCAAATAGACAACAATTTTCCGTGACTTTGAGGGGCCTGGCCCCAATTGATGTGATTGAAAAGAATGTTGTTTAAAACAATTAAAATAGTTCTATAACTGATATTCATAATCGATTCTTATTTTTAAGACTATTTTAAGTTCAGCCTTAAAATGTCGTAAATCAATAATTTAACTATTATTTTAGCATCTTAAGATATTAAAATGATCTTGAAATAAAAATCGACTTGAATATCGATCTAAAATACATTTATATAGTTCCATTTATCATAAAGATTATGCGTTTCGTGGGTTTTCTCCGTGAGAAAAGAGATCCATCCAGTTCCATTTATCATTTTAGAAAAAAATTATATTTTTATACAATTGCTTATTATTAAAAAAATTTTTATAAAATAATATAAATTAAACATATTTTTATATTTTTATTTTTAGCCAATCGGTGGATGCATCCGTCAATTTATTAATCACAAAGAACCACAAAGAAGTTCCAATAATAATTCACGAGCTCATGCACCTATAATTTTCTCTTAATTTTATTACACGCTAAATGAAATGTTTTGCTCAGTGGATTTCGATGAATCGTAACGTGATGCAACAGGAGTCATGTATGATTGATTACCGACTTGGATTCACAAAAAATTTAGTTAATTGATCAAATACATTAGAGCTACATGCACACATGCGCGTTAATATTCGCATCGGATGAGCCTGTGCATATATTGCATAACATAAAAACATAGTAAAGACCAATGGATTAAGATTTAACGAGGACATAGGAGGTAAAGGATTTACGTGTAACCTTTAGAGCTTATCTCTTAAAGTGCATTTGAAATTGCTCCCAGATTAATCCGTGACTATTAACTTTAAAATTACGACAGCGCTTGGACCAATGCAAATGGTACAATCGCGCGTTTCTCGACAAGCAAATATCATAAATGTATTATTACAATCGTTGCGTTCGCATATCGAAAAACAAAATTCCGCAGAAAATTGACAATTAAATCTCTCATAACTTTCCTCATACTTCCTTGATTTACAAAGGACGTAAATCATTCTTTGTGACGGGCATTGAGTTGAGCGACGAATTAGATGATGCTTTCCAGAAAAAGACGCAGTGTAACACAGTGATAATTTCATCTTTGTTTAACAGCAAACAACAAGGTATATAATAAATCATTGTGTTATATTGTGTCATCTGTGGGTGCCTTCCAACAATTAGATAGACATGGTATCTTTGTTTGCCAATGTTAAACAAAGATGAAACGATGACTGTGTTATACAGTCTCGCTTGTTGGAAAGCTCCCACTGTCTCTTACTGAAAAGCACTCAGAGTTTCGATCGCGACCTGTTCAGGTGAAACCTCTCCGTCCCAAGTCTGACATTCTCGACTGCGCGTAACATGTCGTTGTGCCATCGCTTGCCATCCGGTCGACCGGTCATTTAAGAATTTCGACACATGAACATGAAGATTTTGGTAACGCCGTGGATGATGGTAGGGCGCAATTTACATCGCACAATTCTGGCTATATATAATCGTCAACTGGCATGGTACATCGAATCAGTTTAGTGAGCCATCTCAAGTCAGATCGCCACTTGTTCTCTGAGAAAAAAGAACCTGTAGCCATGAAACTGGTACGTGTTCTACGAAAAATCAGTAAATGACGTTTTTTCAAAAGAGACAAACGAGTGTAGCTTTCTCGGCTAATTTTTGGGATAAGCTCTCGGTGAATCTCGCGATGTGGTGATTTCTCGGAAACTTTCGCTTGCTCCGAACCTCGAGGATTACGAAATATCACATCGTCGTGTTATCAAGCGATACACCAATTAAGGATATTATCATTTTCCAGAGGAATATACAAAATGTCTTGAGAATGTATTAGAATGACAGTTATATTATTGTCATCACGAGAATTTTTATCTTGTGCTAAAGAGAGAAATATGTATCTTCATCTCGTTATCTCGTATCTATTTTATTAATTTGTAAATTATTCTTTATATTTTTTATACTTTTACACGAAATTCGTGAAAAAAGGAATATGTTGTAACTTTACAAGAATCAGAGAATCAGATTGTCATAAGTTGCGAAAGAAGTGTCAAATTTATCAAAATATTATTTTATCACTAATGACGAATCGTCCCAGACAACGCAAAGTTTAAAAATTAGGATAGATGTCTTAAACATATATTTACGAAAAGCGTCTAAGAAACGTCTTAAAAACTTCTTGAAGACAAAGACGTCTTTTGTCTTGTATCTCAATTTTAGATTTTGAATAGACTAGGACAGATCATTTGACAAATCATTTTATTATTTTGCACGTTACTTCAGATTATCGCCTTCGCCGCCGTCGTCGTCGTCGCCCTCGCGGCTCCTCCTCAAAACTACCATGACCAGGCGGTCGTCGTGAAAGAGACTCCACTGGATAACATCGGCCTCGACGGATACCAGTTTGGCTATGAGCTCTCCAACGGCCAGGCTCATCAAGAGTCAGCCCAATTACAAAATGCTGGCCATGAAAACGAAGCTCTTGTAGTCCGTGGTACCTTCACCTACGTCGACCCGGCGACCAACGTCAGGTACACCGTCAACTACGTCGCTGACGAAAATGGATTCCACCCCGAGGGAGCGCATCTGCCAGTCGCCTAAATCCTGAGAGAGAGTTCCACGAGAATTCCACCTGCCAATCTCATATCTGTGTTCTTATAATTTTTCGTCCAATTTCATATTTGAAGAGAACCTCAACTCTCTTGATCTCTCGATCACAGCGATCACACAGACAAATATGACAAACCTAGTTTTAAATAAATTGATTTTTAAATAAATTGATTGACTTAATCCTTGATATCTAAATTATTTCACATCTCATCCATTTTCGACACATTACTTTGATCGTTGGATAAGAAACGTTTTCGATAAATCAAAATTGAATCTTGAAAATGTAATGAATTCTACGAATCAATAAACGAGCAATTTGAATTAATCCCAGCAAAACATGATAATGAAATCGACATCAGCTGAACTTGACTTCGAAATCATCAAATCGATATTCGACATCGATTTTACTTTCATTTTTCACTGGGGATCGTTATTTGATTTGATTAATTTAATTGATTTTATAATATGATTAACAATATGTATTATATAAATAATTTTTTTTTTATAGAACAATAAAGATATAAATCATAATACCCATATTTTATTAATTGGTCTATAGTTTATATTACTCAATCATAATTCAATATTATGTAAGTATTAAATATATATTCAAATATATATTTATTACTATTATATATATTGAAATAATGCAAACGCGTTTTGAAACACACAATAATATGTTCCAATTATTTGTATTTTGCATTCAATTATGTCTTATTAGACAATACGTTGAAAAACAATGAAAAATCAAATGTTAAAAATTTACAATTTTCTTGAGTTGCTTATTTGTCAAATTTCTCTCATAATTTAACATATTTACAGACCTATTTTACATTTTTTAATTTGCAGCAACTAATTGTAAGTTGCGGCTTTTGCGAAAACTAAATATTATTTATCCACATATTTTTACAAAAATAATAAAAATCTATCGATAATATATTTAATAATAAAAATTTTTTTCTTAAATATTAAAATTTATTTTCTTAAATTTTCTTAATTATAAATCATTAATAAATTGATTTTAATTTAAGTGATTCCAAACTTAAAAAATTCATCGTCATCAACACAACCATTAAGTTAAAGATGATACGTTTCGCAACAAAATGTAGACCGAAAGAATCCGAATAGATTAATCAAGTAGTTTCTCTTGATCATATCGAAGGTTAAAAATGTGTTATTTTTACGTTGCTATTATTTTCAAGGCTTTAGCCTAGTAGTGTTCCTTGAGGGCGGCTAGAAATCTCATCACGAGATCATAACGTGATGCCGCACGCAGATTAAAAAGACGAGTGCCGAGGATCTCAAATTTAAATTTATTGGTACTTTACAGACCAGGGTCGTCTTAATTTATAAGACTGAGAATTTGCAAAATTACGTCTCTATAAAGGTTACATCAATAATTAATGATTGGAAATTCCTCAAATAGATTCTTGAAGAAAAGTGGAATTCCATCTTGCATACCCTTAAAAACTGCAAGAGAATTTTTTAACAAACTCAGCGAATATACTTCCATTCTAGACATTTGTTTATTAAATGAGATTTAATTGATATTATTGTTTATATATTTAAATAAATCTATATGACCCGATCGTATAAATCATATTTTAAAATAAATTTTACTTTAAAATAATTATTTTTAAATTATGTTAATATCTCAGGAAAAAATGTTTTATATATAATTATATATAAGCTTAGTATAATTATATATAAAATTATATATAATCATACAGAGAGAATTATACATAAAATATGTTCATTTATAAGCAAATATATAAAATTATATATAATTTCATATAATTTTTTTAATTATATATAATAATAAATATTTTTTCCCAGAATTACAATCTTATATAAAATGTCTGAAATAAGATTTATTTGACCCAAAATTCGTTTATTAATTACGTAGTTTTTGTCAATATTAACTTTTTGATAAATAATTAAATTCTATTATTGATAATAAAAAAATTATTTCTATAAAATAAGTACGATAAAATTTGCAAAAATCTCTATTAGTCTAATAGTTATCTAGGAGTGTGCGATTTTAAATGAGTAAAGTTTCTCAGATCGTTCGCGAAAAATTCTTATGAAGGTCGAAATTTGGACAATTGGTAGATGTATTAACTAACAAAATACGAAGAAGAAAGGTGAGAGGTGAATTAGTGTACACCCAGTCAAATTTTGGCAGTAGGAGGAACACTATAAAATCCCTGCTGATTTCGACTATCCACATCAGTCTTCTTCTTCAAACGAGAGTAGCTGTACCGCCTCCACATTCAACATGAAAACAGTGGGTATATACAAGATTCTCCCGAATTATAATTTAACAATGAATCAACTCTTGTTTTTTGGACGAGCGTATAAAATTTATCGCTAATTAATTCGAAGATTATGAGTCATAGCATCAAAATAGATACATCGGAATGCTATTATACTATTCGCACTACCAGTTATTAATAACTTCAATCACTTTTATCAACAATTGTGAAAAATGAAAACTAAACCAAATGACAACTCGATTAATTGACGTTCTCTTCCTGTAGATTATCGCCCTCTGCGCCCTCATGGCCGTCGCCATCGCAGCACCCCCTCACGATGAGACGGTCGTCGTGAAAGAGACACCACTGGACAACATTGGTGTTGACGGATACCAATATGGTTACGAGCTCTCCAACGGCCAGGCCCATCAAGAGTCTGCCCAGTTGGTGAATGCCGGCCATGAGAACGAGGCTCTCGTCGTCCGCGGTAGCTTCTCCTATGTCGATCCGGAGACCAACGTCAGGTACACCGTCAACTACGTCGCCGACGAGAACGGATTCCACCCCGAGGGAGCGCATCTGCCGTCTGTCTAAATGTATTAATTACCAGCGAGATACTAAAGTCGATATGAAAAACAACTAGCTCTGGATAAATTTGTCTAATGATCATCAAGTGGGCCTGGTGAGCCCGAAGAAATTGAAGAGTACAGATCGTTTCTCTCAGATCGTTTTAACCATCTGATATAAATATCTGCATAATTGACTTATAATGCAATAAATATTAAATTCACGATTTATTAATTATATACAAATGCTTCGTGGATGAATATATTAATTTACGTAATGATATCGAACGTATAACTACGAAGCTGTATTTTTTCAACAGTCATTATTTGAATGATCGAGTATGAACGATTGTTTTAAAAATATTGTTTTAAAAAATGAATGTTATGTTTTCACGTCGCGGATGTATAATGTACATATCTACGTTATAATAAATCGTAAAATTAATATATCGTATTATGAGTTAACATGAAATTCTTAATCGGTCTTTAATTACCTTATTGAAAATTGATTATAAATCGCAGTTCACAACATGGATTAATCGTATTTGGACTGCACAGCTATATTTGGAAAAATTCCAGTGATATTGCGATCTCTACAATTTCGTCATCACAGCGATGCGCGCAATTCTACCTTTTGCATTGTAATACAATACAATTCTGCATTTGTATTACAGTAGCTTTATCGATCTTAAATTAACAAGAATTTTATTAAAAATATACGCATAAATAATTATTTCCTTCCCTAATTACAATCGTCCTGAGAAACTCAATCGAGAAACTCTGTTGCAGCATTTGATTTTTCCCTTTTTCTTTTTCTCAAAAAAAGTTTGTTGTTAAAACTTAATTTTTAAAAATAAAATGTGTACACATTTCGTATTCTTAATTTTTTAAAATAAAATACAAATATGTACACATATTTGTATTTTATTTTAAAAAATTAAGAGTACGAGTTAGTATAATCTTGCTAAATTATTTGAGTAGTTAAGGGATTACTTTACAACTTTAATAGTCTAACTTACAATTTAGCCTTTAGAAATACTGTAAAATTTATGGAATTCTTGAATTTATGTATGTTAATTTTTACATTAATAATTAAATTCTGGTAAAAGTGTCTGAATAATTCATACATTTTTGGAATCCGTCGTAATCAATATACTTGTTATTTAAAAATACGTATATTATCATACACATAATTAATCAATTTTAATTGTTAATTATATTTAATTGTTATAAATGATTAATTATTTATATCTCTGCTTTAGTTATTTATATTTCTGCATAATTGTTTTTATGCTTGACACTGTTAAATTAATTAAAGTAGATCGCGTTGCTTGAAATCCCCAAAAATGTTTGCACTTAAAATGAGATAAATATATATTTGGATGTTGAAGAGATCAAAGAATTAAGCAAAGAGAGAAAAGTGCTGAATACAAAAAGTGAACAACGAAATAGTGAATAGACTTATTATTTATATATTGTTCACTTAAAACCAATTTAATGGTAAATCATCATTAATTCAAATTTATTTATTTATTTATTTTCTATCATATTCAGTACTATTTTTTATTTTTAATTTATAATTGTGATTGAAAGTGATTTGTCAATTGAATTATATAATTCCTATTAACAATTTATTGGCAAAAAATATATATATAGATATTAGTTAAATGTTAGGGATTAATATTAGGAATTCCTATTAATAATTTATTGGCAAAAAAGTATATTAGTCAAATGTATATTGTGAATCAATATTGGATTTACTTAAATTGAATTTATTAATTAATAAATTATGAACGGGAACTAAGTACATACATACCTAAACGCGAATACAGTTTATTCATTAACCATTCTTAGGACTTAGGCTTCCCTCTGTCGGGATCGATCGTGTTGACACGTCGAATTGTCTTCGTGGTTCTCACGTCTTGTCGTTAATAATGACGTTTAATTGCGATTTCTAACATTAGTGTAAAGTGTTTATCTGTGCGGGACGGGCGCATAAATACAATCCCGATGATCCCGATGGTTTTACCGTTACGTACAAACGGTACATCATCAACATTCATTATTCTACGATAGTGTAGAGGTTAGAAATCTGCGTACTCCACATACTAGCTCGCGTTTGTCGACGTTTTCTTTTTCTCATTTTTCCACGCGTTCATAAACTTATAAGCGAGGAAGGATCAGCTGACAGGAACGTACCGAGCCTGGGCGATGAGATGATCATTGGCGGTCGTTAAACTTGGTCGATTTGACGGTGCCTGGAGATCGACAATGGCAAAATTCAGGATGTTACCGCGCACGTCGCGCATCGTGGCCCTCTGCTCGGCTGCGAATTTTATAAACGCCGCGGACAGGGTCATCATGCCCATTGCCATCGTGCTGATGACCGATGAGTTTAAATGGAATCTGTATTGGCAGGGATGGATACTGTCTGCGTTTGCTTTCGGATATTTCACTAGTCAGGTAATTCGTATGCTTTGTGTCACCGCTAATGAAAATGCAGCGCTTATAATGTGTCATTCTCTCCTTCAAGATCATCGGCGCAAGCACAGCAAGTCGTTTTGGCTGCAAAACTGTACTTATGCTAGCGGTTCTACTATGGTCCATTAGTACGGTCATCACACCATTGCTAGCACAGTCGGTACCATTACTCATACTCTGTAGGGTGATCCTAGGACTAGGAGAAGGATTAGGTAAGGATAAAGAAAGAATTATTCGAAGCAGATGTGAGGTCTGTTCTTTGAAAAGTATTGAATTGATGCAATAAATTGGAGTGAAATAAATTTAATTATTTCACTCCAACTTATTGCAACTATTGCAGTATATACCAATTCAAACATTACTATATTTATTTCACTCCAACTTATTGTTCCACTTGCAGTTTAGAACATTCTTTGTAAAAGAACAGACTTGAGACCTATTTTTCTTCTTTATTTCTCCAAGAAGATAATGAATAACGCAAGAAATTGAACAGAGGCCTATTCTTTTTACCTATTTGTAAACTTCTTATATGGTTTATCTTTCCACTTTTTGTGTAAAGAAAACATTAGGATAAAAAATAAATAATGCTAGAAGTTTAAAAAAAAAAACAGCCCTAATGCATTCTGAGATTAGGAATTAATTTGAGATTGTTTGTAGGCCTACCAGTGATATTTCATTTATTCGCACATAATGTTCCTGTGGAAGAAAGATCACGCGCTTTTGGCTACCTAGTAGCTGCTGGTTCTGTTGGCCAAGTGGTCGCATCTGTTGTAAGTGTCATTTTACTCAAAATGTACGTTAAATTATAAAAAAAATTATGTTTTACAAATCGTACGTCTTTCCATTTGTTAGGTATGTTCCCACTTGGCGTGGCAAACTGGATTTTATTTATTTGGGACAATAGGTATCGTATGGACTATATTGTGGCTGATGCTATATCAAGAAACTAATTCTCAAGATGAGATTCCATTATTTGTTCCTAAAGTAAAGTTCTGTCCGTCATTTAATTTACTTTCAATTTTATTTTTGGTATTGATGTTTTATAATTGATTGACAGGTAGCTCAAAATAGAAGCTTACGTTGGACTGAGTTTATTGCTCACTGGCCCCTGTGGGCTTTGTATATAGCACATTTTGCAATGAATTGGAGTAATTATATAATAATGCAATGGCTGCCAACTTATTTGGCAAGAAACTTATCTGCGAATACGGAGAGCATTAGTTTGACAGCCCTCCCTTATATCGTTAATTCTCTTATTGGTATTGGTAAGTATTATATATTAGGTGTAGTAAAAAGAAATCCATTATTTTTGCATGAAATTAAATGGAAAAATAATGGATTTCTTTTTACTACATCTAATATATAATTATGTATATTTCAACTTTGTTTTAAATATTTTTCAAAACTATTCTCTTTTTTTTTCAGTTGCTGGTCACAGTGCTGATACTTTAATACAAAAAAGATGGTCTGTTTTGTCGGTTAGAAGATTAATGACAAACATAGGCCTAATAGGACCAGGTGCTTTTCTATTAGCTTTTTGTGCTGTAGATAATTTGCTTGCTGCAGTCATGTATGTATAATAACTGGTCTTATATTTTCTATTTTTTTCTATGTTTGATTTTTTCTTTATAAAATTATTATCTTACAGCTTTGTTTCGATATCTATGGGCCTCTGTGCGTGCAATTCAGCCGGACACCTAAGTAATCACGCGGATATAGCTCCGAATCATGCGGGAATTACGTTTGCTGTTTCAAATACAATTGTAAGCATTTTTTTATCTACAACAAGTCAATACCGATACGATCGCCGTAAAGTTGACTACATTATCTGTGTCGTGTATATCTTAATTTTCAGGCAACGGTACCTGGAATTCTTTGTGGACCATTGACAGCTGAATTAGTAACTGCTTCGCACGGTTGGTGGATGCCAGTTTTTGTGTTAGCGGCAGCGATTAATTTCACCGGGGCTATAATATACCAAAGCCATAGTTCGGCGCTTCCAGTGTTGTGATATGCTCTATCTCTCATCCAGCGATTATTTGTTATTGAAAAGAAGAAAAAGGTTGTAAAGAAGAAAGTGTTTGTTGAAAACACTGAGATGCCTGTTTGCTTTTAGATCATTTTGAATGATTCCCAATGAAGTAGCTACGAACGTTTACCAGAATGTTGGTGTGATGCGTTTTGTCATCGCGTATCAATCAGTCGAAGACATATCACGATGTTTTATTTATATCTTAAATAAATTTTTATTATCTTTTTTGAGGCAACAAAGTGTGATTTTGATAGACAGTGCCATAACTTGAAGGAAAGAATGGAATTATTTGAAAAACTAACTGAGAAATGCAAGACACATTTATGAAACTCATCATACATCTTAATCAATATATGTATTGTATCACTCAAGAATTAGCGGAAAACATTTTGTGATTGTTATAATAAAAATTAAAATTTTTAATTATGTGGTTAGGATATAAAATGTATATTCTATAAAACTTAAGACTGTACATAGAAGAAATTTTAACTTTCACGTTTATATATTTTTAAAAATATTTTAGCACATGGGAGAAATGATCTGTTCATTTACGTATTGTAAGAACTGGAAAATGAGAAGACTTACGAAATGATAAAATTTCAAACAATTTAAAATATAATTTAATAATGTTTATACATAAAAATAAATATATATTAATGATACTTCTGCTATACAGCAGATATTATAAAGATAAGTCCTTTCTCAAGTATTCCGACTGCAATATTTGCGACAGCGTGTCTCTCGATAAATTTTCGTTTAATCCCATTTTAATGAAGGCGTTATCTTGGAAATTTGTTGCGCTTGAGTGTCTCCGAATTTTGAAAGATTTCGCTTTCCTCGGTCGTGTATCATTATATAATTCCATATTCTCGAGGGACATATCATGAATTTTTCTATTTTCTTCGACAGAATCAACGGATGTCATTTGTGTGGCGTTAGTTACAGTATTTGAGTAAGAGCGATATGCATCGTCTTCGCTTGCGTAATTTTCCGAATCGTAGTCGTCGCTGTGTCTTTCGAAATTTTCATACAACATGTTCGGTTCAATATTATGACTCGCTAGAATATTTTCAATATCCCTTATAGATGGTGGTTTATTTTGAGAATATTCTTCCTTTTTCGCTTCGATGTTGTATGATTTATAAATATTATCAGTGTGATGTTGTAGATACTCCTCGATAGAAGATCTTATCTTTGCTCTTATTCTATTTTCATCTATAAACTTTGGCTTCATCATAGTTGTATCTTGTTTCTTATTTGATTCAATTATATGGATTGATCTTTTATCATCGAGGATGTTGTACTCGTGCGCTTCAGTGTGTATAGACTGCTTTTTCGCAGAGTTCGATGACAGAAAATTCTTATTTAATTGTTTATCTGTTAAAATATTTTCCACACCTTCGTCGAATCGTAACCTTGCCATATCTTTATCAATTGTTTTACTATCTTTGTTTCTCAGAATAGATGCTGATTTAGTCCTCGCTTTTTTGTCGGGAAAGATTAAGTTTCTTATAATTTCAGCTTCTTCTTGTAATCTTGGCTTGCTCATTTTGAGAACATTATTCGCGCTTTTGTGCAAGTAACGATTCGCCTTGGGATCCATGTAATTTCTCTGAACTCTGTCTAACTCGCACATCATCTTCTCTAGTGTCTCGTATACTTTTTTCGTTTGGACATTGTCAGTGCGATCCTTACCCTTCGTCCAATCTTTTTCTCCTCGTAACTCTAGCCACGCAGACTTTACTTTCTCCACTTCGCGATCTATGTCTTCTTCGACTGAGGTATAAACGATCGAAATGTATAATTTTTTAAAATTATAATTTAAATAATAAAAAAGGTATTAAAAACAATATTTGAAGAGCGAACAAAGATATTCGATAAAAGCATAGAAATTTACATTCTTTGTCAACTTGTTTGTTTAGTATTCTCGTCGGATTCTCTCTACCAAGTATTGGAAGGCAAGTATTTTCCGTCGAAGAAGAATTCGTTACATTCAAATCTGGATCATTTGTCACGAAATCGATATGTGACTTCAATTTCGGCAAGACAGCGGATGACCTCCGTTTCACAAGATCTATATAAGAAGTATACATTAATGCAGAATATCTTGGAATTAAATATTTTTCTGTGAGTATCTAAATATTTCACCTGTGGTTGTGTTTCAAAATTTACAATATTGAAAATCTATAGTGACATAAACTATAAATTTTCAGTACTGGCAATAAATTTTGGAATCTAGCTTGTATTTTTATCGATTATGTAAATCTTAAAACGTATAATAATTTAAAAATTCGAATGGACAAAGAGACAATGTTTAATTTAATTAGTTTCATACTTGTTTGAAGCAACGTATGCGCAGAGTTATTTTTATAACACAAAATAGTCTGAGTCGTTAATGGACGTGATTGTTCAATATTGACAAATGGATTAAATTCATAGATGAAATTGCTTGTCGCCGAAATTCTTTTTATGGGACGTACAGGTAATCTTTTTCCCTGCTTTATTATATTTTCCGCTATCTGTCTCGAAAAAAATATTCTTATTAATATTTAATCAGCATTAACAAATTTGTAATTATCATTCTTGAAATAAATTAAAAAAAACTATTGTATAATGATTCCAAGTAACACAGAATATAAAATAGACATTAAAAAAGTCTATTTTAATCTACCATAGTTACTGTGTCATCTTTTAATAAGTTTGTTATTTTTAGCTGAATTTTTTTTGCATAGCTTATCTTTTCTCTTTTTCTCTTTAACATGAAAAGAAAAAGAGGAAAGATGAGATTCAGCATTAAAAAGGAGAGGCCTATTATTACTCTGCTATTTGAAATGCAAATTATGTGTATTTTTTGGCGATATATATATTAATTATGGATCTTAATGAATTTTTAAATAGAAAAACGTACGATATTGCGTTTTATTTTAGTTCCTTGGATATTCTTGTTAAAGAATTTTGCTTCAGTTTTATTCAAGACAGTATCGGCTTGTAATTTTTGATTGCCATCCAATTTATTATAATAAGGATTCAGGTTATTCTTATTTTGATCGCCATACGCCTTTAGATCTCGTGGAAATTGCCGAAATTTCTCATCATTGATTTTAGCAAAATGCGTTCTATATGGATTAAAAAATTTTAGACGTATAAATTAAAGTCAACGTGTACTATCGTTTACAAGAAGATAAAAATTTTACTTTGCATAAGTTTCCATGCAAAAATTGTGTACCTCTGAACACAATTTATTTCCATTCTTGTCCACACTGTTACAATTAGCCGTTCTTTTAATCTTCTTTTGATTATATTGACGCGATTTTTTGATACTGTAAATTAATTTATGTCATATATAATTATGTATATGTTTAAACGCATATGTGATCTCTTTTTCTCACTTCGTTCCGGAGAGAGAAGTTAATTTGCCTTTCAGTATGTTCGCGTGCTCTAGCAATGCCTTCTCCTGTGTTTCCCGTTCTGCTTTTTCCACGAAAACAGACAGAGCGTTAATTCTATTATACTCCTCACAATTTTGTGTCTTGATACGGATAGTATTTAGATTCACGGCGAAAGGGAATAAGGCATAATAAGAATATGAAACGATTCAAAACGATTTTGATTTAAAAATTGATGTGTCTTTTGAATTTTATTTCTCAAATCGTGTTTCGCGAAACTATATAGTGAGATTTTAAGACAGATAAAAAATGTATATTATTTTTATATGTATATTTTTAGTAAATCTATTAAAAGCCAAGCAACGCTTGGAAATGAGAAAATCGCCGACCGCGTATTACGTGTTGCACATTGACGTAACTTTTCCAACTTCATTCATATTTGATCATAAAAAAAATATCAAAATCGATATCCGATTTCATTTAAAAAAACATTGAAACATCATCAATGGAGAGAATTCGGATATACATTCATTCGTTCGAATAGAAAAAAAAACAAAAGGCTTTATTTATCAGTCTTTATTCGTATAACTAATCGACAAGATCAAAATATATTTATATTATTTTTAAAT